TTAAACTACATTCGTTATATTTTACAAACGATAATATTGTTTTAATTAAAAATATCTATATTTTTTCGTATAATGTTTGAAGGAGTCTCGACGAATGTAAATTAAAAATTGAATTCCTAGTCGGGAAGATGACGGAAACCTGGAGGACCATTTTCGTAACCGGAGGTGCTGGTTACATTGGCAGTCACTGCATCGTCGAGCTCCTAGAGTGCGGCTACGACGTGGTGGCTATAGACAATTTCGCAAACAGCGTAACAGAAACCGACGGCGAGTCCGCAGCGCTCAAAAGAGTCGAGCAAATAACAGGGAAGAAAGTTACGTTTTATAACTGCGATTTACTCGACAGAGAGAAGCTCGAGACCGTCTTTAATCAGGTATTACGTTCACTAATTATATTTCATATTGTACATTCCATCTATGATGACTGCTCCGTTGTAATTATATGACTTAAAGTTAAAAGAGTTAGAGAGCCGTTTATTTTTCTGGACACATGAAAAATAATTTGTCACTTTCAGCACAAAATAGATTGCGTGATACATTTCGCAGCTATCAAAGCTGTTGGCGAGTCGATGCAAGTACCTCTCCATTATTATCGGAATAACATAATAGGAGCTATTAATCTGCTTGAGGTAAGAAGATTACCCGCGTGCGCTCCTCACTTTTACAAAATGAAGTCATTCCTTTTTCTTTTGCAGGTGATGAAAGCAGCCGGCTGCTTTCAACTTGTATTCAGTAGCTCTTGTACGGTTTATGGTGAACCTACAGAATTGCCCATCACGGAAGAACATGAAACCGGTAATATCACCAATGTCTACGGGCGAACAAAATATTTCATTGAAGAAATGCTGAAGGATGTATCCAGAGCTGAAAAGGTTTGAAGATATAGGAAATCTCGAATTTATATGAAATTACTTCAATTTCATAAGATTAACAATTGCAATTTTACATAAACTAATGTAGTACTCGTTTTTACTCATATATAAATTTATTCTAGATTATATAAGAATAAATTTTTTACTTTTAGTTTTCTCTTTTAGAAGTAATCATATTATTAACATTTTAATTAATGCATACTATTTAAATTTTTATTAAGGATTTCTCTCATTTAACAGAATTGGAACATTATATCTCTACGATATTTTAATCCGGTCGGTGCTCACCGGTCAGGATTGATTGGGGAAGATCCAACAAAGCCGTTCACAAATCTGATGCCGTATATCGCTCAAGTCGCTTTGAGGCACAAGCCGGAATTGGTCATATTCGGTGGTGATTATCCTACAAACGACGGCACAGGTAATAGAAACGATAATGTTAATATTAAATGATAAGTTTACATCGAATGCTTTATTTAGATCACTGGTTCTATACTCACGATTTATACTTTTCCAGGTGTCCGTGATTACATTCACGTTATGGATTTAGCAGCTGGCCATGTGGCGGCATTAAATGCTTTGCATAAACAGCATCTTAGGCTAAAGATTTATAACTTAGGCACCGGCAATGGCGTGACTGTGTTGGAATTAATAAAAACGTTTGAGAAAGTTACTGGTACTACCGTGCCATATGTTATAAAAGAAAGAAGAGAGGGCGACATCGTATCCATGTACGCTAATACAGATTTGGCAAAAAAAGAATTAAGCTGGACAGCAAAGTACAACGTTGAGCAAATGTGTAAGTAATATTAATATATTTCGGCTTGAACGCGAGTCTGAATAATTTCAAATAATCATGTTTAACGATAAAATATTGAATACAGGTCAGGACTTCTGGACGTGGCAAACGATGAATCCACATGGTTATCGAACTTCATTAAAAAATGGAATTACTGAATACCTGAACAATACATCGTAACAACAAATTGTATCGAGAAAATTTTTCAAATAATTTATAATAAAGGATCGATACGCATTGTATCATAATTTACGTATTTATAATGTCTATAGATTTATCTTACATTTTATGATTCTTCTTTATTCTCATTTCCGCTTTTTGTCTTGTTGACATTACTTTCATCTTTCTTACATTCATCCAGAATTTCATAGAGCGACAAATGTTGAAACTTTAAAATTTCTAGACCCCAACTTGTCCATCCAGGCAATAAGTATCTTGCAAAAATTTCTAGACATTTTGGCTCGTCCGACAGATATTCCTTTATGATTTCTAAGGACGTGAACAAATCTTTTATCGTAATATATCAAATATTTTGTGGAATCTATCTCACATTTAAATTTTATATTCGCACCTGTGAGTGGTGGTTTGTGTGAATGTACCGCACTAGGTACACTGATCATCAATCTGCTATCAGGGATATTTACTTTGTGATCTTTTTCCAATGCAGACCCTAATATCAGTAATTCATAAGGTTGCTTTCCAGGTGCTGAGTTAAAATTACATATTGTGTCACCTGCTTGTGTCACCTATAGTAACAGTAATTATTTAATACTTATTGCATTGATTTCCGACTTTATTAAGATATTACTTACCTTGAGCCAATACCACTTAGCTCTATAAGTAATACCCCAAGACGGAAACATTTCGTTAAAAATACTATTCAAATGGTTGGACGAATTAGTGCACCATACAGCTACAATACCGTTTGAATGTAATAGTTTTCTTATTGGTATCTTGACCAATTCCTCATTGTACATCATTTTGTAACTGTAAAGATATACAATCATGTCTCCTCAAATGTCTTACGTAACATAGGAACATGTTAAAATAAGACTATTTATATACATTTGATTCATTTTTGGAGACAAAACTATTTTTATTTAAATTTAGAACATATTAAATTTATAAATCAATATTTTCACTAAGCACACATATTGAGATTTCATTTATTTATGTAAAGAATCATGTTAGATTACCTGGCCTCTGCGCATTTCATCTTTTTCCTTCTGATTGACTTGTTCCACCAGGGTGGATCTAGCAATATGAAATCATATTGGTTGCTCAGTTCCATTTTCTTTTCTATATCTCTTACATCATAGCAATAAAATGTACATTTTTTGGGGAATACATATTTTTTATTATGAGCCACAGATACAATAGCGTCATTAGTATCATTGGATCCATAGAGGTTCTCATTTTTAAGAGAGTAAGTATCCTGGTAAAATTTCATGGATGCCAAACGTGCTACCTCATTGTTATCAAGAAAGTTATTCTGGCAAAAAAGTCCTTTGTCTCTTGCAGCAGACATCATTGCAATAAACGCTTGTTTAACACGATCGACCTGTTGTACGAGAATAATTTTGAGATACTACAGGAAATAAAATGTAATTCTTATTCATTAGTATTTTAAAGGTCATATTTTAAAACATGAATCGAATGTTAAATTTCTGAACCTACTTCCTCCAAGTCTTTCTGTGGCAATTGCTGGGAGCGCTTCCTCTTTTTTCTACTGTGCATTATAGCACTATTCTGGGACTCCTGGACGGTCTGAACTATTTGATTTGGCCTCAAATATTGAGAATTGATCTCGAATATCATTTTGTTGAAGCTTAAAGCGCAAGATCCATTTTCGTTTTGAACTTTCTTGTATATATCATTGAGATATTGCAAGTGAGATATAATCCAGCCTTCTTTACTGATATGAAGAAGACTCATATTTGGCTTCAGAGATCACACCCACACGCATACAATACTTTTATCACAGATTCTTATGATATGCTTGACATTCAATCTACTATTACATCAATCTGTTTAATGATGTATGTAAATCATCAATCCAGTTAGAAATAAAATATGTGATAATAAATACACATGTATACACATATGTTTAATGTTGTAAATATGAATATATGCATATTGCACTTATCATTTTCATGTATGTACGAGCAGATACATTGCATATGCGCCAAATGCGTCAGGTTGATTCAAAAAGCCTATCCCTGCTTTCCATTTGATGACACAAATCGACACGAGCGTCGTTCTATCCTCCTTGACGTTCAGAGAGTGACAAAGATAGAACGACACTTGTGTCGACTGTGTCTCCTAAAAGGAAAGCAGCCTGTATTACCTGTAATGCGCAATTTGCATGCAAATTCAATTCTTTGACATTACTGGTCGCTATAACAACCGCCATTTGCCGGCATCACTCGCTCCTTATCACACTTTTCTAGCGATAAAAATTTCGCGCATGCGTGATGGCGCGAATCTGCTCAAACTTTCACCCACACATGGACGTTCCGACAGGCTCGTATCTAGAATCGGAAGGCAGGGGTGCAATTCGGGGCGCGATATAAACACATTTTATGCTCCTTTCATCCAATGTAGATTAGCTTTAATCCCGGTTCAACTTATTTTTCATCTTTCTTCATTTACAAAAATGATAAAAAAATAAAGAGTAACTTAAACCGAGATTAAATTTAATATACATTGGTAGAAATTGACGTATTATAGCGACTTAGGTCGATATTCACAGTCAGATCTTATATTCAAGATCATCTTAAATACAGTCTTAAGAAGTCACGAACCAATCAGAGGATCGTATCAGCGTCTTAAGGCATTACTTGAGGCAGTCTTAAAATAAGAACGGACTATGAATACCGCCCTTAAAGCAATTAAATTAATAGACGACTAATTTAATTAGCAGGATTGCATTCTGCAAAATTTTTATTGTGTTAAAATTATGTAAAATTTTATTATCGTTGATCTAATTTTTCACGTATTAAACAACGAAAGATTAATTATTCTGCCTGGATGAACAAAATATCGTCTGATAAATTAATCGCTAATTAAGTTAATTGAAATTTGGTCGAAGTCTCGGATGCTATTCTTTTTTTATGGATACTTTTCCCACCTGAGTGCCATTTAGGTATCATTTTATTCTTGTTGTTCACCGAACATTCATTAAACAAGAACAAAATGATAATAACGATATCTGAGGAGTATCCTCGAGTAGGAATCTCTGAATACGCCCAACAATGGGTGCCATTTATTTCGCGAACCTAAATACGTTACTGAAAGTCTCCTCCGCCTCTCTGTTTCCTGATTTGTTACAGTTCGATACAGACGGAGACAGATATAGTTGACGACAGTTGACGAACGCGCGCTTCTCAACGAAGTATTAGTGACATACTTTAATTGTTTTATCGTGAAATTACACATTCCACGACACTATGGTTTTATTAGGCGAAGTGTTTCCAGACTTCACAGTGGACACCCAGATGGGCTCGATCAGATTTCACGAATGGCTGGGCGATTCGTAAGATGTTCTGTAATATTTGTAACCTAGACAGACTCCGTCGTCATGTGATTCTGTAGAAGAAAAGATTAATTATTAGCGATATACGCTACGTACCGAAATATTCGTAGATACGGTCTAAATTTTTAATGAATATTTAGAATATATACATATATATATAATCTTATTTTATATTTGTTTGCAATAAATTTATGATGTATGCATGATTATTAAATTACACAATTTTCAGTTCAGTTTATTCATAATTTAGTTTGTATAAATTTTATACTATAAAATATTTGTCTGAAATACACAGGTGGGGTATCTTATTTTCGCATCCAAATGACTTCACGCCGGTCTGCACAACCGAGTTGGCACGGGTTGTAAAACTAATGCCTGAATTCAGGAGATTGGGTGTGAAAGTGATAGCATTGTCCTGTAATTCAGTTGACTCCCATCGAAAATGGATAGAGGTTTGCTCACAATGAATTCAGTCACTTGCATTACACTAGATTAGTATGTACTAAAAGCTGCTAGATATGAAATTGATTAAGTTAAATATAAGAGAACATACAAATATCTTAAACGATTAAATACCCAACAATGATATTGTCACGTTGTTTAGTAGAATATATATGTATTATTTCATTAGCGCATAGTTGATTATACTGTGGCACATTTAAATGCTTTATATAAAGCAGCCTTTAAAGCTAATCCAGTGTAGTCAATATAAATTTTTTTAGATAAATGCATTTGATCTAGGATGTTTTCCAGGAAGAAATAGATGACGCAGCATAAGACAGTGAATCATTACATCCCTGTTGTTTGCCAGTGTAAAAGATGAAGTGATGATCACTGTATTACACTACGTCTCTTGCTGGAAAACAACAATAATTTCACTTTGATAAAATTTATTAGATTTAATAAGTTTCTATCATAGATTCATATCAGTATTATTAAATAAAATGTTATTCTAGGATATAAAGAGTTACGGTGAGGTAACGGGCGAAGAATTTCCATATCCGATAATAGAAGATCAAGCCAGAAAGCTTGCCACATTATTGGGAATGTTGGATCCCGCCGAGGTCGATAGTCAGACTGGATTACCCATGTCGGCACGAGCCGTGTTTATAATTGACCCAGCCAAGAAGATGCGATTGTCAATTTTATACCCAGCCACTACCGGTCGTAATTTCGAGTGAGAAACGTCACATTTCGTCAAATATCATTTATTGCTTGTAAAGATCACTAAAATTTCGTACTTTGAATTGCAGCGAAATAATAAGGGTAATTGAATCCCTTCAGCTCACGCAAAAGTACAAAGTAGCGACTCCTGTAGATTGGAAGGTAGGTTCAGGTTTGAGAAAATAAAATTTCACTTAGATTTTCAAGTGATAATTTTCCGCTGTTTATAATTAAATATCGAGCAAAACATGTTGATGATTTAACACGTTAATTTTTACATGTATTTTATACATTTTAGAAAGGAGACGACGTAATGATTGATCCGAGCGTATCAGACAGTGAAGCCAAATCTTCCTACAACAATATAAAAACTGTGATGTTACCTTCTGGCAAAACGTATATGCGTATTGTGCCACAACCTCTAGATGCATAAAAAAATTTCGATGTACAGAAAGATTCTAATAAAATTCAAGCTGCACAAATCATCACATAACGATTTTGTTTGCATAAAATATATATTATTTTATAAAATCAATTGTTCAACGTTTTTCTTTATCATTTTTTACTATTTAAATAAAGACACCTATTCCGTGTCTTTATTTAAATAATTTCCTCTATCTATCCTAAAATTACTTAATAGATAATTTAAGCCTAACTTAATAATTTTTTTTTTCATGTAGATTGATATAAAATAAGAGATTCGAATCCTTGGTATTTGCAAACAACGAAAGAAGCTGTTTATTGTTTCACCTAATGTAATTAAAAGTACACTGCGTTATATACATTTTCTTTTTCAAGTACACGATTGCTTACTGTCTCTATAGGCGTAAATTGTATATATATTTACAGTTTTCCTTTTTTTTTTTATTAAGTTATTACTGTTTTTATTTTTCTCTACATTACGATTATATTCCGTCTTGCATTCCTTGCTTGTAAATTGCTTTATGCGCAATAGCGAATACACAATTTTATAATATATCTATATGTATATATATATTTTTATATAAAACAGTCCCTGGTCAAAACCAATAAGAGATAGTAGATAATAAATTTAACAAAACTATACTTTTATTATTGTATCATGATTACGCAATTAAAAATTAATTACTACACAAAGTATCGAGTGATAAAATACTATCGCAGCCTTCGTATTAGAGAGATTTCTCTCTCTTTTTTGTTTCAATTCAATAAACGTGCACTGTCACACACTGTCCACCTAACGGTACACGATCCATCTCCCGCGGATGGGGGGGGGGGGGAGTCCCATTTATTCACACATTTTTCGTCAACCAAGAACCGAACCGAAGGCTACGGTAGATTCTACCAATGTCTGTAGCCCCCTTTCGATACACTCGCGTTTCATTGCGATTAGAAACACCTTACACTTTCACGCTTATCAGTGTCGAACAGGGAATCATCTACATACAGATCTTCGTTGTGCGAGCAATGTCGAATCAGAGGGTTGAAAAAGAAACGGTGGATCGCCGGCGTCCACCGAATTTCTTTCGTCAGTTCGCCATAGGGCGTTTTCGGTATTTGTCGTTCATCGTTTCGCGGCAGCAGTCCGACGGGACCTCGCCGTGACTCACTCGCCGGCCACGTGGCTGTCTTGCTGCTGCTGCTGCTGCTGCTGCTGTTGTTCGGATTGCTGCATCTCGCCCTCCATTCGCGCCTGCCTTTCCGCAGCCGCCCGTGCCTGTCTACCGGCACTCGAACGAAGATTCTTACGCTCTGGTGGTGGTTCCACGCTCAGTCGTTTGCCGCTACGGGCCTTCTTTGGCGCCTTAGTGCCGCCCTTACCATCTTCCTCCGTTTCTGGAGCGGCGGGTTTCCCGCCGTCACTCTTCGCGCCAGTAGTCTGCGTCGGCGGCGATATCGCATTCGCAGACGTCGACGAGGATGCTGACGACGTCGTCGTCTCGTTCGCTTCCTTCTTGGCCGTGCTTGCTTCCAGGAGCGGAACATTGGATGCCTCCTCTTGTGAAGATCCAGGCTGTTGCATCACTTTCGTCGGAGTCGTCGGTGACGGTCTTGTCACCGGTTCAATTTCCATTGTCGGCACTTCGCTACTCAATGCGGACGATTTCGTACTTGTGTCCATTTCTGTGCGCATCTTCTTCGCAACGGGTTCAAGAATGACTTCAAGCGGCGGCGGTGCCGACGGCGTCAATCGTTGTTGTTGCTGTTGATCAGAATTCTGATTGCTATCCGTGCTGCTACGATTCCTACTGGGCGGTTTCTCGGCTCTAGGAGCGTCATCAATGTTCCGCGTGACCAGTTCGGCGCTGGTTCTACTCAGATGCTCCAGAGTCTCTTTCACATCTTGCTCTTTGTTTTTCCGTTCGGTCTTTTTCTCCGATAGATCCGCCGCTATCACATCGGCCTGTTCCGTTATTGCTGTTTCTCGCTTCTCGTGTTGCTGCTGCGATTGTTGTTGTTGCTGCTGCTCGACGCGGCGTCTCTCCTCGCTACTGTGCAACGCCGCCATATCCGTGTATTGTTGCAGAGTTACGGCTGGATCCACTGCATATCTAGAAGATTTCTTCTCAGGCTCCTTTCGCTTCGTTGTCGACGACGACGACGATGATGAAGATGTTGAAGATTCCGGTACGGTCTCACGTTGTCTAGAGGAGCTGCTAGATGACGTAGGCTTGCGTACCATTGAAGCGCTGGATGTCGGTGGATTCAACAGACCACATTGGGCAAGGCTTTCGTAGGCCGACGACACGCCGCCAGATTGCATAGAGAACGGATTCAGGCCGCTTAATGTTAACGGTGTGTAGAGGAGACTGGGATTCGTGAAGAGAAACGGGAATGGCGAGGGAGTCGGCAGACTCGCAGATGAAACAGCAGACAAAGTTGACGGACCACCACTAGCCGAAGATTTGCTGCTGGTCGACGGCTGATCTAATTTGCTGCTACGTGACTTGCTACCGCCACCACTACCACTTCCACCGCTGCCGCTAATGCTCGACGAAGCACCCGCGTTCTTACTGCCGCTGCTATTCGCCGAACTCACGATCGGATTATTCGCGTCCGCCGCGGCTGC